GGAAGTCCTTGACCAAGACGTTGGCAGGGAAAGGGCTTTGAGGTGGGAAGAGTCCTCGAACAGTGTAAGTGACTGGACTGATTCTTCTTAGCTCCATTCTCAGGATGTTTTGGGGACTTTCCTACCTAGTAGGTGATCAGAAACAAGAGTGAAGAAATGAGTAACTGTAGAGACTCTTGGGACTGAAAGAAACCTTACGGGATGCGCGCGCAGTTTGATACCAGTGTGAACTGCCCTTCAGTGAATGAGTGGTAGAGAATCTGCTGCTTCCCCAAGCAGCCACTGGACTGTGGGGACCATTGTTGAACTGCCTCATGGATGGCTCTGGAGACCGGTTGTCAAAACTGCTTCCTGGCACCTTGGTCAGGTCTGCGTTGACTTCCTTTTGTTGTTTACATTAGAGTTCTGGATAGAGGGAGACTGCTCTGTGATTCTGTCTAAGGCAAAGCTTGCAAACTCAAATGACTTTAGGAGCCTACAAGTGCTATCAAGAGGTCAGGTTGGGGAGTAGTGGGGACTGGTAAATTAGGGGCCATGTGTTTTATCTAAAGGGCCCTTCTCTATACCTACTGGTGGTTACCATGTGAGCCCAACATGGTCAGATATTGAATTGTTGTAAGAAAATCTGATGCCAAATATAAAATCTTTAAGCTTTAATTGCTAGCAATGAATTAAGATATAAATCATGGTCTGAACTAAAACCAAACCAAACAACAAATATGAGGTGGACCACAGGAGATTTTCTGGTTAAGGCTGGGCCCCTGCCATACTGACTGTTGCCTCCAGCCTCCCCTGATCTCGGTGTGGGTGATGCTGGCCTCTCCAGGATGTACAGCGTGCTGCCCACAGAACTTCCTCCATGGCAGTCAGCCCCTCTGCCTGTCTTTGAACATTGCCAGAGTCCCTGTTAACACCTCTGTTCCTCTTACCTGGTGAATATCCAATGAATGAATGCATTGAGATTTGGATGCTCTGAGATTCTAATCCATTGTCCCCTACTCTGGAGAGATTCCCTGATAACTCTAGGAAGGAAGGCTGATGCTGCCTTTTTCTGCATGATACGAAGTGAATCACTGGGTTTCTATGTGGGCCTCAGTTTTCTTACTTTGAAAATGAAAATAGTTGACTAGGTTGTTGAGAGGATGAAACGAATTCCTAGGTAGATACCTGACAAAGACCTCTTAGAAGACAGAGCTGTGCGCCAATGTATCTCTGAATTGGGGGTGGTCACAGGGCAGGTTTTTGTGAACACTGGCTCAGGTGGAGAAGCCAGGCAAAACAAGCACACGGGCCGACCATTGCGATGAAGCTGTGTGGTTGTGAATTCAACTCTTTTGAACTCCTAAAAAATCAGCCACAATATCTATCCAGATGGTAAAAATACAAAGCAGTGATGGTACCAAATGCTGGTGGGGAAGCTAGATCCCTCGTACATTGCTAGAGGGACTAAAACTGGTCCGCTGGAGAACAGTCTGGCAGTTGCTTTTAAAACTAAATGTGCAATTAGCAGATGACCCAGCAATTGTACTTTTGAGCAGTTATTCCTGAGGGAAGAAAACTTACGCTCACCTAAAAACCCACGGTGGATACTACCCAGATGTTGAGTGTGTGGGTACATGGTTAAGCAAATTGGGGTACAGCCATAAAGTGGAGTGCTACTCGGCAATAAGAAGAAATGAAGTACTGATGCATATGACAGTTTGAGGACTCTCAAAGGCATGACGTTGAGTAGAAAGTGCCAATCCTCAAGGGCTACCCACTGTCAGATTCTACTTATGTAGGTTTTTTTTTTTTTTTATGACGAAAGTCTAGTTGGGGTAGCACATTAGGTTTTTTTGTTTGTTTGTTTTTGGCTGGCTTAGCCTGCCTTAAGGGCAGGTCTGGTAAGGCAGGTGGAAGTGGGGTTTGAACCTGACTGCATTTGCATGAGCAGACATTTAACTGAGCTAACTGGCAGGCCTCCAAGGGGCAACCCGTTAGTGATTGCTTAGATCAGGGCTAGGAGTGCATTTGGAGGGGTGCTTAGGGAAAGAGGTAGACCTGGTTATAAAAAGACATGTCGGGCCAGGGATATAGCTCAGCGGCCTAAGCGCCTGCCTGGTAAGCCCAAGGTCCTGAGTTCTATCCCTGGCCCTTAAAAAAAAAAAAGACTTAGATCCCTTTGGTGATGGAAGTGTTTGTACCTTGACTGGCGATGGATACATTCATAAAATTTCATAAAATGAAACATACATATTCATAAAACTACCTGTAGTACTGGGGAAATCTGAGTAAGATAGGTGAATAAAATAAAATGGGTGGACTGCACCAGTGTAAGATTCCTAGCAGTACATATTGCACAGTATTGTTTGAGAATGTCACCTCTGGGACAAGCTGAATGAAGTGTACTGGGACCTTTCTGTGTTATTTGTTACAATTGCATGTGAATCTACAATGACCTCAAAGTAATAAGCTTTCTCATGTTTTTTTTTTTTTGGCGGAATGGGGGATTGAACTCAGGCCCTTGCCCTTGCCAAAAAGTTTCCTTAATGACAAAACAATTGCAAGGTATTCAAAACAAAAATCAAAACAAAAGCCTACCAAGGCAGTCAGTTAGATTCCTTTTCAACCTCTCCTTTGGCTTATTTCTGTTTGAGGTCAGGCCCACTCAGAACCCTAGGGCCTTTGTCCTTGGAGAACTGCCAAGCCACCCCTTTCCCAGGGAAGCGCTTATTCTACTGAGCCATGTCCCCAGCCACTCCCCCTTTCCCATTTGGTGGGTTTGCCCTCCTGTATGAGGACTGGGAGAGACCCGAAGATCATCTCACCCATCCTGAGTTTGGGATCTGTGTATGTTCTGTGCGCATGTGCAGGTTGAAGCCAAATTCTGGCTTCTTTTTTAGTAAGGGTGGGAGCCACAGAGGACCCCAGAGATTAACAATGGTTTCCTGAGGCCCGGGGTCATTTGGATCCTATTTTAAGAAAACAGGCATTGCCACAACACCAAGATGTCTTCCACCTGTGTCCATCTTTCCCTGCTGTCCAACAGCTAGCAGCCAGCCCTGCCAGTGCTCCGTTTACCTCTCCCTGCCTTCCTCCTCCAAACTTCTTTCTTTTTGCTATGAAGTGTGCAATTTTTTTTGACCAGCTCATTTTATTCCTTGATGACCTTGTGGCAACAGAGCATTTTGCAGATGGGAAACACGCTTGGAGAGATTCAGTAGGTTGCCCTAGACCCCTTCTTTTTTTTT